GCTGCTGTCTGCCCCCATCTCTGCCTCCCCCATCACACACACCAGCCTTGAATACCTCCTTCCCAGGCAAGCATCTGAAAGAAAGGCAGTGACTCTTCTCACGCCTCTCCCGTAGGAATATTTCCTCTTTCCAGAAACTTCCTACAGCAAAAGGCAGGCAGGGGCTGGCCTGTTCTGCTGAAAATGTCCTGGAGTTGAGAGACGTGTAATCCAGCCATGGCCAGGGCAGGTGGGCTGGATTGCTCCGAGCTAGGTAAGGAATGGCATGAGACCAAGCCTCCCGACCTGGTCCCACTTCTCTGGGTTTTGGCAGCACTGACAGAACTCTGCTTGAGAGAGGGATGCCAGTCAGAGCCTGAGAGGCCTGTGGTCCACCTGCCAGAGCAGCACATTCTTCTAGACGGCACTTACCACCAGGAGGGACACAGCCCCGTGGCACAGGAGACTGCATGGGCCAGAGGCGAGAAACCAGCACTGTGGCCCCAGCTTGTTGCTGTCACTGGGGGCAGGAAGTCACTTCATCTTACCAATCCTCCCCAGCTTTCAGGCAGGGGAGGGGCGGACCACTCACCACAGTGCTATCTGGCTTCTTATTATATCCCACCTCCCGGTCTAGGCACCACCCTAGACTTACCTCTGACTAACGCACCACAAGGTGCATAAGGAGCTGGAGGGGACGAAGTCCCACACCAAAGTTAGTTAGTACAGTGGCACCATCATACTGAGGCCTTGGCCTTGGCTTCTCAGCAGTTATGTGGTAAACACTCTCAGTTCCTGTTAATGCTCTCGGCATCTTCTAGCAGACAGCAATCCCAAATTACAACCAAGTGTGTTACTGTTCCCGGGGTGACAAGTTGGATGTTGAAGAAGAAAAAAATCCACATTAGTTTAGGAGTGTACTGGAATCCTAGAATGAAAGTCTCACTCCAGTGCTTAGGAACTAACACTTGGTGGCGGCACAAGAGGAGTTTCACTAAACATCACTAAACACCAGAAGGGTAGGTCTGTTGGGAGGATTGGTTGGTAGGGAGTTAGAAAGAATAGAGCAGTGAAGATTCAGCCCTAAGTACTGACCTTGACTCAGGAGGTCAAGAGCTCATGATCAATAGTGCTATAGCATCCAGGACATGACTTCTCATTCCGGGGAACTGCACACTACCACTTCCCACACAAGTTCTTGTGCATGTAAATATTGGTCTGGACAATGCCTGGGACTGAAATGTTTTCTGGCACCAGAACAAGGCATTACAACACATCCAGGTAAATGTCCAGATTCAGCCTCCTCATTGCTAGTGGGCCAAGGACAGGTCCTCCATGGCCAAAAACACTGAGTTCAACATTTGAAGCACCAAATCTATGGTAGTCATGTGGGAAGCAGGCAGGGGAGAATGGGACACAGGTGTTCACAATGTGGTGAAGACCCAATGCAACCCAGAGAGTACACTAATAGAAACAGGAAGGGGGAGGTAGCAGGGTAAGCCAGAGAAGGTGGGAGGAGGGGTGACATTTGGCTCAGTTTCTAGAAACCTGCTGCAGGGTGGAGTGCATGGAAGGAGTGGTATGCTCTAGAACTGGAAGTAGGCCAGCTTAGTAGAGTAGACCCAAGGTAGGAGGGTAGCCAGGGGCTAGCTAGCTGTAAAGGACCCCCAACATCACCTCTGGGTCTGACATCTGCTCTTGCACAGGAGGGTCTTGAGCAGGTTTTAATATATGGGAGGGGGCTCAGGCACATCTATTTTAGAAAGAGCCCTTGGAAGAGTCAAGGCAAAGAGGAAGCAAATGACAAGACTCATGAAATAATCCAAGCAAGGGCTGAAGGCAACCAAGAGGGCAGAGTCAAGGAAGCTTTCAGAAGGTATACACAATAAAAACAAGGAGGAAGAGGATCCCAGAGACAGCTTATAGGCAAATATAGTAAGGTCAGAAAATTGCTCTTTGATTGATCCCAATTCTTGTGATTGTGGAGAGAGAAGAGAGAAAGTCACCCCAACCTTCACGAGCAGTTCTAGATCCAAAGTAAACGAATGCAGGTGGACGGCTAGGAGAGGCAGCCAACTGCAAGGCTAACGAGGCCCCGGACATGGATGCTGCTGGGACGGGAGGAAGGCAGGGGTGGAGAGGCAACACGCATGGTGTGGGCTGGCAGTCAGGGCGTCGGAGGAGAAAGGGCTACTGAATAAACACACCAAGGACTCCACACCCACTAGACTCCAGAGAATGCTCATCCTTGGACTGAAAGGTTTGAGGAGAAGCAGCGACAGGTTGAAGGCAAGGCGGTGAAGGATTTTGCGCAGTTAAAGACATGACTTTCTTGATGACAGTTATAGAGGATACGGCAGGAGTTAAAGAAATTCAGCACAGAAGGGAGGTTGTGGGAGGGGGCAGGGCTGGGGGTTGGGGGTAGGGGGGGTGTTGTGAATCGCAGCAAAGGAATCAGGAAGGAGGATGTTGACCATGCAAGGTCTACAGTATCTCTTTATACCTTTCGAACATCCACCAACTCCTCAACTATCACCTGCTCACTTCTATACTTCTTTGAAAATGTGAAGAAACTATGGTTGTAGTTATCTACAGCATGGCTGAAGTTATTTGGGTTTTCTTATGGAAATGGGCTGGGAGCCATAGGCACTGGATTGAACGAGGTGCCAGCAAAGGCAGATTCCAAGACTACACCTCCTGGGGGCATTAGCTGAGAGGCTTTGGTCAACAAAAAAGCTCGGTCTCAATTACTCGGGGACTTAGAAAAAGATTCAAAATATTAAGGGATTTATGACCTCCAAGGTAACCACACCCCTCTCCCCAAAGAAAGCACCATCTTTCAGAGAAGTAGCCAGGGCTGATAATGGTGATAACTGCCCATCTCCAGTCAATATGTTTCCTGAAACCTAAATAAGTTTGCCATTAGGAAAACAAAGCAATGACCATAACTGACAAGCTTTTAGTTTTAAATATACCTTTATTTCTCAAACTCAAAGCTTTAATTTATCAAGTTCTAACACATTTTGCATTGACAAGTGATTTTATCTGCATCAAGTAAGAAGGTTAGTGACCATTACCAAAGAGGAAACCCCATACATCCTAGGCACTTGTGAAAAATATTTCAAAGGCTATGCAAATATAGAACAGAAAAGCATCCAATTTAGTCTAATGGGTATCTTACTTTTCATCTATATTAATTTGGAAATAAATTCCTGTTTTAAGGAAATTAAGCTTTTTATCCATAAAAAAAAAAGAACATAGCTTGATTTTTAAAGAATACCTTCCAATCCATATTATTTAACTACTTCCTCTTTAGTGCACGGTCATCTCACCTTCCTATGCAAACACACACGAGAATTTGCACCAGCTCTCGCTAGCCCAGGCAAAACTCCATGCATTTTCTTTAGCTTACACTTCAACTATTTTTTTAAAAAAAGTGATAGGTAAACAAGATTTAGGCACTTGAACTCACACAAAAAAAAGCCTTTTCTTTCCTGATCCTTAGAGGTCTCCAAAAGTAATCCTGAAAAGTTGTCAAATTTTCTAAAATTCTTTTCCTCTACACATCTCCCTTGGTCCTCTGAATTTAACTGGTTGAGCTGGAATATGTTCCACAGTCAGCTGTGAAATTCTGTTCTCTGCCAGATTGAGGATGTGAATCTAACCTTGCTAACTGGAAGTTCTTTCAACTTAAAGAATCCACCCAAAGAGCTCTCCCTAGTGCAGAGCCCTAGTCAGATACCCAGGAATTAATGGCCCCGGTGAGCATCAGGTTCTCTTCTCACCACTGGATAACTAACTTTAATCCACTCTCTGGAAGAGGACATTTGAGCTAAGAATGAAGCTGCATCCTAATACAAGGCACCAGTACCAGAAAGTTAACTAGAAAGGAGTGATTCCTAAAGTTAGGAAGCTGCTTTTGAGTGGCACCATTTCCCAAAGTTAACAAAGCAGTACTAACTAGTTATAAATCCTAACCAACCATGAAGGTAAGGGATTAGTGCTAGAAGTGAGGCTGAAGGATAAGCAGATTCAGGCTTTAGCAATTTAATGTACTAGCACAAAACACAGGTTCACACACAGCACTCTGTGGCTCAATCCCCAGTGGAAGCCAAACTGGAAAACAAACATGAACACCAAACCTCATCTGTACCATATACCAGGAGCTAAGCATCATCTTCCCTGCCCAACTCACCCCACCTGCCAGGTCTCCCTGGTGTGGGCCATGTCACATACTACATGTGGTCATCAGGAACTCTGATTTGAAGGTGTTAGGGATATAGAGTTTAGTTTCAGCACTGAAGTTACTAAGGAATAGTGTCTTATTGCCAAGGTAAGATTTAAAGGTCAGACTGAAGCTCAGGGCCAGGAATCTAGTGTATGCTCTTCTGCCAACACAAGGGGAAGAGGTAGTGTTTTCATCTCACTGCTGCTCAAACTGACTCCAAGAAGCAGGCTGGGAGAACAGGCTACCTACTTGCAGAAAGCATCGGAAAACAGTTCAAAGTCATGAAACAAATGAGAGACTGCTTACATTTAGATTAGAACTTGCACTTGAACTTCAGTGCCCTCTTCCACTGCCAAGTTTCATGTTACTCAACACACAAAAAATCAGAACCACTGGACTAAGTACAAGTTCAGGGTACTTGGTGCTTGTATGAGCCATATGAAAGGCAGGTTTCAGCTAGAATTTTTAGTGAAATTCAAGATTACCCGGCTTATTCCGAGGCTGGCAAAAGGCACCTAGAGGTGGAGACACCATTAGTCCAGGGGTTGTATTTTAAAAGTGCAACTTTGGTCAGTGCCACTTTTTATCCTGATAGTTTTAGAACATGGGTCTGTTCTCAAATGACAAAAAGAGCTGGGCTGACTAAAGAGGTCAGGTGAAGATACCCCACCAAGATGGCCGTTGTACAACGGTAAAGACTGGGGGCTGAGAATTTCTTGCAACTTCTGTACCTCCCCTTCATCCTCATAGGAGGACTATTACCAGGTAGGAAAAAAATATAAGCAGAAAGAACTCCAAGGACAAACTGGAAATTTAATTACTTGATGCAGATCCTATCTTCATCTGGTACCTCATTACTGGTCCCCAAGCCTTCTAAGTAGAAGCAATACTGATTTGTGTTAGCAAGTGCCTACGGTGGTGGCTTCATCACATTTCAAAGCTTTGGTTAAACAAATGTGTCATTTTTGTGCAAAGATGTTGCCATTTGACCACAATGGCAGCTTTTGTCATGGATAACCAGATAGTTTTCAAAGTTGGGATCGCTCTTCATTGGGATTCACTCTTCACTGCCCCTTTTAACACTGAAGCACCCTGGGTTCCCTCAACTAGAACCAGCCTTGACTCAAAGCCAGTGAATTCAAATATACCTACGGCTCACAGGGAAACAGGAGCTAGTGACATTAAGAAGTGGCTTCTAGTCACCTCATGTAGCACAACACAAATACCTCGCGTTTCAGTCACATCTGATCTGCTTTTAAGAGGACTAAAACATCAACTGAAAATATTTTTAGAAAAAGGTAAATCACTCATTTTCTACCAAGCATGTCTGCATTAAGATAACTTCATTGCTTAAAGCGACGAGAAAGCAATCACTTAGGGCTTTGGATTTTTATGGCCACAGGAGAAAATAAAAATCAGGAGCATAGATTTCATTAATTCACTTCAGAAACCAAGATGGCTGACAATATTGACTGTCTTTGCCCTTGATACTCCCTAAAGTGATGCTTTCTAAGAGATCCCACAAAAAAAGTTTCAAAGCACAAAATCTGTTATCTAAATCTACTGAGAAAAGCAACAGTAGCTAGAAGTCTTCCATTTACTAAGTTTGCTTTTGACTAGAGATTAACACTGTTTTCCTTCTAAAGTGCAGAATATAAACAAGTATGGTCAAATCTACCAGAATCATTCTCATTCACTCAATTCTTTCCAAATACACTGGAATGACTTCAAAGTGCCTTGGTAGCCCCGATGCACACAAGGCCAGGCTTAACACGAACCCACACCTTCACGCACAGCACAGAGACAGCAGGTGAGATTCTAAAGCAATTCCACAGGTCACTCGGTTCTACTGAAATTCCTGAATTCATCTGCTGTCAAAAACACCTGGAGAAGGAAATTACTATTTTTGAAAAAACAAAAACAAAAAGAACAAAAAACCAAAAATAGCCAAAGTACTCCAGAAAAACAGCTTGTCATACTTGGAATGTGACCAAAATGGGTTTCCAATTAAAACATGGGAAGACCCTCATGTCAGTTCCCATAATGACTCTAGACCCAGCACAATCCTGTCTTAGGAAGAGCAAAACAAAAAGTCAGCCACAAAAGAGCTGATGAAGGAGGGGAAAAAAAAAGGTGTCATTCAATAAGAATTCCTTAAAGAAAAAAAGAATGAACATTCAATGTTTCCTATTTACAGTCACCTCTCCCACCACCACCACCACAATTCTACTTTAACATTATGTTCCACATTTTATTTTGGTTTTGATTTACATTTCAAGAAAAGGTTATTTTTTTTTCTCAGCAATATTTCACAATTCCTCAAGATAACACAGCATCTAAACCATAAACCACTTCCAACCAGATCTCAATTCTCCAGCTACTGGCTTTGGTTTATTGATGAAAGAAATTCTCAGCTCTGCTGACAGGGAATGAACATAAGCGATTTAGTCCCTTGAACAAAAATTAGGTCACAAGAGCACCCACATGTTTACCATTTTCTGCCTGACTAAAATTGATACAAGAAAAGAGATTATCTGCACAACGTCCATGTAACTGCTGAGAATCCCAAGTGAGGGCCAACACAGCCTACTCTAGGCTCAAGTGAGAAGAAAGTAGCTTAACACTTCTCATATGCTGCCCAAGCTCTCCCAATCTGTTATTGTAGAGGTCAAACCCCCACGTGCTAATGCTTGGGACATGACACATTAGTGTCTATCTTGGAAAGATGTGGATAGTTCACACTTCCTACAGCATTTTCCAAAGTGGCACTTACTATGGGTCCTTTTAGGGTTGGCTCATGGTTACGGTAGACCCATTCCAATGGGTACAAAAAGGAAAAAAAAAAAAAAAAAAAGCAGAATCAGAGCTGAGTTCCCCTTTAAAAGCCAAACACCTACATCTAGAAGGAGGCTCCCCTACCTGAGAGCCCTGGCTCTACTGGGGCTCCCACTGTGGAAACCCTCAGGTCTCAAGGTTAGTTACAGGGCAGCCAGGTGGGGTAAGGCTGGCTGTAGGTAACTGGAGGATGGGCAACGTAGTAGTTGTTGAAGTTGCCATCACTGACATAAGGAGCGGGCTGGTAGTAACAGGTGACGTTGGTGGCGTTGGGGATGATGTTTTGTTCTGCCAGCACACGCAAGGCCAGGAGGGAGATGAGGTTCAGGGTCTGCCTGCGTTCATGTCCCATGAGGCACACGGTGCTCTCGTTCACTACCCTGCGAAGGATCATGAGGTAGTCGTATTTGCTTCTCTCTTCTTCAGCAAAGTGGTTCTGCAGGTAGGTCTCCAACTTCCTTTGCTGTTCAAGGATGTCCGGGAAGTCGATGAAAAACCTGGAGCACATGTATCGCTCTAGAGTTTTGATTTCTTCCTGGTCCGTGGGCCTGAAGTCCCGCACGAGAAGGTTGCTGTACTTGAGAAGTCCCCCGCCTCTGATCTCTTCGGGGTTTTTGGTGGCGATCAGTCTGTTCTGCAGGTGATCAAAGGCTTCCTCAAAGTCCCCGTACATGCTCTCCCCGATCACTGTGGGGTGGAAGTGCTCAGAGATGGGGTTACTGGAGCAGTCATAGAAAAAAAGCAAAGAATCCAGTATGATTTGGAAAGAGTCCACACTAAACTCAAACTGACGCCGGATGGAATCAACAAATTTCAGCTCCACGTTCCTCCCGTTCTTGTTGGAGAGGGAAATCAGGCTCCAGCGGTCGGTGTCCGTGCAGACCTTCACCAGCTTCTGCACGTACGCCTCCTTCAGAGTGACTGGACTGATTTTGAGCTTGTTCACACCCTCTGGCAGGAAGTTCAGAAGGGAACACAGAACCACATCTCTGACCAGCTGAAATTCTGCTTCTGTTGGAAGAGCCACGTGAAAGATCAGGTCCAGATCTTTGCAACCCAGGCCATTGTCTTTGACCAAAACGTGGCCAGCTGCAGAGCCATTCAGCCGGACATCCTGCACTTTGATGCCTGCCTCCTCCAGCCGGCTGCGGACGGTCTGGACGATGTCCTTCAGAGTTATCTCCAAGGTTGGAAAGTTGCCTCGTCCATGGATGGGTACGACCTCGGTCAGGACCTCGTGCAGCCGGCTAACCTGATCCCAGTTGAGCACGCTGAAGGAAATGCAGTCCCTGGCACTGCTGCTCTCCTCTGCCATCTTGGGGGATGTTCTGGCTGGGGAAACTGAAAGTGAGAGGTGAGAAACAGGGTTAGGATTCTCTTCTGCATGGCAAAGCAGCTCAAGGAACTCAGAGATATTTATCTCTGAACATTTTCTGGGAAAACGGTGACAAATAGCACCTACTGCTCAGTGTTGCTGTGCGGATTAAATGAGTTATGTAGGTAAAGAAAAGTTCTGACATAGAGTAGGGACAAAAATACACAAACTTCTGTACCGACTTAGATGACTGCATAGTTTTGTTTTGTGTGGGTTGTTGTTTTGCTTGTTTTAACTGTGTGGGGACGGGGGCTAGAGTGTGCTGGAACGTGCGAAGGGAATCAAATCACTTAAACACAGTATTCTTCAGTAACGGGCCTCTATGGCTTGCTGGCGATCTGTTTTCTCTGCAAGTTATTTCTGCCTTTGGCTCCCTAACTACATTTTGAACTGGTTGATACCTAGGTGACAATACCCACACACAGAACACATGATAGATACACACACACAAACACACACACACACACACGATTTCTTCCAGTCCATGAGCAGATAGATTCTCAACTCTGGGCTATAACCTCACCAAGAAGCGGGAGTGCAACCATTCTTGCTAGAATAATGCATGTTCCCTTAGCAAGATTCCCATGTCCCTTTCACTTATGGGAGAGGTCTGTCCTATAACAAATACTTCTGTCATCCAAGATAGAACCAAAGGAGTTATTTGTGTAACCAGATTTCTGGTCAACAAAAGTCATCTATGTGGTAGAACCATTCTTTCCAGCAAAGATGCCCTTCACAGGACATGGCCAACTTCCCCAGGGCAGTGTGATCTTTCAACTGTATTTTGAAAAACAGTACACTGACTCTACCTAAGGAGAATAAAGCTAGCACTGAGTACTAGGAGAAAAATACCACTTCTTACACTTCACCTGCTAGAGCCAAAGTTTCCAAAGTAATTTTCAACTACATTGTACTTTGCAAAAAATGAAATATAGTGGATTTCTGGAAATCCTAATATATAAAAACAAATACTGATATATTAAAAAGTCAAGGTGCCTGCGGATCCACATAGGTCAAATAATTAGCTGGATGGACATAAAAGCCAAAACAAAGGGTCAAGGTGCGGTCCTCAGATTTCACTGTGAAAAGTTTTCCCACCCCCTCTGCCTTTCTGACTTGCTAGACACACACAAAATCCATCCTAATGACTTCTGCAGTTTCATTGTTTGGAAGCTGCTGCGTTTGAATACACATCGGCATGCATTCTCCGGGGGTTCCAACATGGATTTCTGGCCTTGCACCGGTGCCAGGGATTCCCCATGGTGATTACTCAGTGTCAGGGCATTGCTGGGCACAGAGATGGAGATGAGCTTTCTGGGTGCTCACTATCAAGGAGGAGGGTGAGAATACAAGGAATGAATACAAGGCAGTGTGTGGTGTAGACAGTTCCGTAGTAGAAATAAAATGTAATATAAAGGCAAGAAGAAAGGGTGTCCCTTGATGGGGTGAATGGAAAGGCCACAGATAAGTTCACTTACGGGGAGGGTATAGAAGCCAACAGAAAAGCAACATGAGCTCATGGATAGGCTGAGAGGCAGAAAGCAGGAGGTTGACTGTGTGATCAAAGCAGGCTCTAGAAGACCAACCTGAGGATGAGCCTTCCACTGCTCACTGCAGAATCTTGTCAAGAAGAAGATAAAAGTTTCCCTTCAAACTTCTTTAGACAGCATTAAAAAGTACTAGGCTATCTAGACCATCCTACCAAGGCACTCCTAAGTTAGACATCAAGCAAAATCTGTGATGAAATACTTAATGTTTATTGTAGCTAGCATTTGCAACAGAGTTCTCTTTATCATGTTCTCTATACACTTATAATAGTAATTCTCTGTGGCCTCTTTTATGATTAGCATGTAGTACATTTGAGTTTATTGTATATGGTGCTACATAATTAAGTTCAAATGATTACAGAAAGGTATGACTGGCTTTGAGACACAGCTAGACTGTGATCGGGTGGCACAGATTTCAGGCATGTTGGCCTACCTATAGACATACAACTTGCTTTCCACTGTATCACCTGTTGTGCTTTCGAAGATCACGTTTATGACACAAGTGTGAGAAGTCACACAGCAATGGAAAAGCCATAATGCAATCAGTACTTGGGATTCAAGTAACAGTTTTAAGAAAATCTCCAACTCTAGAACTTTGGAAGAGGGGCATCTAAGACCAGTGAGAATCTGGACGCTATAACCCTTTCCTTTGGTGCAGGGGAAGTACATATAAGTGAGAATTTTCATATATTTTACAATCTGTGAACTTGTAGTAAATTCTGTTAGAATCTGTTTTACACTAAGAGTTTGTAAGGTTCATATGGGAAGAAGGGCAGGAGTAGCTAGGAAAAAGCTATGAAAAATAAAAGTGATATATACTGGCCTATAAGAGATATTACAAAGTCACAATAATTGAAACAGCATGTTATTGGCACAAAAAGCACATCAATGGAATGAAATCTTTAAAACCTAAAAATAAACCAAATACATAAAGGGATTTAGTATATAATAAAGGAGGCATTTCAAAATAGTAAAGGGGGGGAAGACATCTAGATAGTTATCTAGATTTAAAAAAAAAAAAAAGAAAAAAAAGTGGATCCCTATCTCATACCAAGCTAAGATCTAGATGGATGGATCAAAGACTTAAGTGTAAAAGGATGAAACTCTAAGAGTACTAGGAAAAAAGGACAGCAGTTATACATACTTAACAGAGTAGTCCTTTATAAATCACATAAAACATAAAAGCCACAAAAATTGATATATTTGAATATATAAAAACAGAAGTATCTACATGGTAAAAAATGCCAAAAAGTCAGAAGACAAAAAAAAAAAAAAAAAAGATTTGTATCATTGGGCAAAGTATTCACTTCCTTAACAAATAAGGAACTTCGACAAATCAGAAATACCAGGACATCAACAGAGAAGGGTCAAAGGACATAGATACCTAACATTTGACTTTACTTAACGGAGGGGCAAATTAAAACCTCGATGTATTGTTTTCACCTGTCAAACTGGCAAAGATAATAAGTCCATTTTCCTTCATTGAAAGGAAGAAATATAAAAAATAAGTCCCATATGTGGGAAGCAGATACCTCTGGTACACTGTCCATGGGCTTTCTGGAGAACAATGCAAGATTCTTAATTTTAAGTGGACATATCCTTTGACATAGCCATTCCACTTCTATTAAGTCTACTCTGAATTTTATGCTACAGGTATACCTGCAAGTATGCACCAAGATAACTGATGGAGAATTATTCATAAAGCTGTAAGTATTCATCAGAAGATGGTTAAATGATTTGATACATGTATACAACAGCATACAAAGGCATGCAGTTGTTGAAAATAATGGGTGTCTGCTCTTTCTAGAGGAATGTGAAATTTTCATCAAAAGTCATTAATAGAAAAGCTAAAACTGTAAACATTTATTCTTATGTTAATACAAGCATATAAACGCTATGTATAATATACATAAGAGGTAGTTCAACTTATACCAAATACCACCTCTAGTTTAGGGGGCAGAGGAAGAAGAAAATTTATTTTGTGCCCTTTGTATTTAGAACCTATACATTAATCGAAAAATTAAAATCTTATGATCCATGTTCTAAAATCTCTCCCTTATGAGCCTTCTGTTCATCTGCTGACTTGATTTCTTCAATTCCTTTCTCACCACTCCTCCCCCGATACCCATGTGCCAAAAATCAAATATACTTGGAAGCTTCCCCTCCAAGCCTTAAACATTGATTACTACAAGAATGGGTGGGGAGGAGGGACCTTTTTTCCCCTAAAACGCCTTTTAGTCAAGCTTCTACTTATGTATTCTTTAAAAGATGTCATTACTTATTTAAAAACAAAACAAAGAAAACCAACCCAAAACTCTCAAAATAATGAAAAGCCATCTCATCTGGTCCCATTCTGTTTGTCATCCAAAAATATTTTTTGCAGTTTCACAGAATTGCTATTTCTCATTTCAAACATATAGCCACCCTTGTGATACCATGTTGATTACTGGCTACCATTGCAAGAACTTTAATAAATACAACAAACACCTTCAGGAATCCAAGATGCCTATGGTTGGCCTCTTCTATGCCAACTTTTCACACATAAGGGGTTAAGTTTTGGAAAAAAGTAGTCTACATAAAAGCACAGCGTGGGACATGACAAATGCCAAGTCCATGCTATAGTTTTTTAATTCTCTCCATTTACTGTGATTTAGATACAGAGGAGCTCAACCTATTGAAGGCACGAATTTACACTAGGTCTATATTAAGTGTTTAGTTCATTTGAAGAGCTTAAAATAAGTCATTCGTGCCTATTAGAAAGGAATTCTTCATTTTCCCTCACTCATCTAAACAATCTTAAATAGCAAAAGCACATTTTCAAGTTACTTGGACAAACATTGGTATTACTAGAATAAATCCAAGTCATAGGCCCTCGGTGCTTAGATAATACACCAGTGCTTAGAACAACAGTTTTAGTTTTAATTAACCACGTTAAATCAACGCTGATATAATCCCTACATAAAAGAATCACGTGGAACACACATTCCCAATTCATGAAAGGCCCTGCTTAAAGGCAAATTCTAGTTAGCAGAATTAACAAAATAGTGGCTAGAAAACACATTAATTTGAAGTCTAGTAAATTCAAACACAAGTGTTTGATTTCCCTTTCACTGTTTGAGAAGCAGATTCATTGTATTTTGCACAATAGAAATTTCGCAGGAAAGGTGGAGCCATAATTTTTCATTGACTTGAAAACTCAGGCACCTTTTTACAAGTCAAGATGACCGACTGCCCACTCAGTCCAAACTACTTAACCTAAAAGGTTTGACGCCTGATGAACTACTATTTCAGGGATCCTTGAATTCCCTTTTCTTCTGTCATCTAACTGTAGCAGAAAGTAGAATACACACACTAGGGGAGGGGGAGAGTGGGGGACACAGGTTTGCAGAGATGGCAGTAAAAGAGGGAGAGAAAGAAAA